ACGAAGAGGCTGGAATGAACCGTATCAAGAGGTGACTGGTCAACGCTTTCCGCTCTGTTAAGTTCAATTTGGTGCCTTGAGACCTCGCAGCAACAACAATACGTCATACAGAAGCATGCTTTCATATTAGAAAGTTTAGGGACAGGACGATCCAAATCTCTGGCTCAAGCGCTTCGTAGACACAGCAGATTTCCTGGTTTGCCAAAGGCTGACCGCGTCAAAGCGGCAGATCGAGTGGGTTTACAACAGAGCATTCCCTAGTTGGGATGCATTCGATGGCGAATGAAGGCGAATTGGTCGTCCAAATGCAAAACAAAGAGTCGATGATGCAAAGTTTCACGTTAAAGACGAGACAGAAGGCCTGACGGATTCCGGTCATCGTTTCAACCAGCTTCACAACAGACAAATCCTCGAAGACGAGAAACATGACGGACATAATGAAAGGGTGCTCTAGGTGATTGAGTGCTACATGAACGAAGTCCTTTCCGAGAATCTACCTACAGGCGACAGTCGGAGCAGCGCAACCCAAAACTCTAGAGAGAGAAAAGAAAAACTTGAAAAACCGAAGTTGTCGATATCAAGAAAAAAGATGTATACGACTCGGAAAGCTCACTTTGTTCGCTAAGCACTGCAAGCACGCACCGATCAGGTACAGGTGCCATATACCACGTTGACCCGAGCTTGGTTTCCAATTCACCAAAATTACCTTTATTGGGCCAATATCGCCTTCGTATTAATGCAACGTGGTGTTTTCTAATTGGGTGATATAGCTGATGCATACAAGTGGCTAACCGCTCGCAAGACAATGTTGCTATTCATTTTGGTTACCTTTGCATAGCGAGAATTGCAATACAGAGCTAAATTGCCCGCCTTGTGTTCGTGCAACGCTCGAATTTTCACTTATTAATCCTCAAGTTGAACAGCATGGAATGGATCGTGAACATCACTTCTTGTTTGACGACAGCAAAATAATATTCCCAAGATAACCAAATACATAACATGTTCATATAGTACAGCAAATGAGATACAGAAGTCTATGTAAGAAATCAGTACTTCTCGCCCATAACGTTGACTTCCTTGACATCAGTGACGTTAGCGACAGCTTCCTCATCTGAAGCAGTGTTGGAAACGACATCCTTGACCTTGAGGATATGACGACCATCTTGAAACCAACAAAAGGCAGCAAAGGAAGCGACAATGAGGTAGGCGGGAAGGGTGACAAAGTAGGAAATGTGGGTACCGTGAATATCGGCTATGGCACCTTGGATCGGTGGGAAGACGGCACCACCAGAGACGCCCATGACGATCAAAGCAGCTCCGCGACGAGCATGTGTGCCAAGGTCAACGGTACCGAGTACAAAGATGACGGGATATTGAATGGATTCGAACCAAAAGATGAGCATCAAGCAAGCAATGGCGCCTGAGCCTGAAGCACTGGCAACGACAATAGAAAGAACAGCGCAGATGGAGGCGTAGATGAAGAGGAGGAAATCGGAGGAGATAACGGTGAGCAGGGCGGTGCCGAAGAATCGAGCGACCGTGAACATGATGAGAGAGTAGGACAAAAAGTTGGAGGCGTAAGCTTGAGACCAGCCAACGGTTTCTATGGTGTAGTTGAGGAAGAAGGTGGCCACGGTGACTTGAGCGCCGACGTACATGAATTGAGCAATGAAACCATAGATCAAGCGGTATTGCTTGTGGAAGGGCTTCTCAGCGCGGGACACGCCATTGTGTCCATCCTGCTGAGCATGTTGATCGGCTTGTTCAGCTAGTGAAGCTTCCGAAACCTCGGGGAGAGGGAAGAAGAAAAAGATGATAGCAAGAACGGCACCAACGCAAGCAACAGCAAGGTAGACCCATTGCACGTTGGTCAAGTTGTCGGCGTTACCATCCGAAAAGAAGTACTTGGAGGCAATGAAAGGGCCGGCAAAGGAAGCAACACCGTTGAATGATTGGCATAATTGGAGACGGAAGGAAGCCCATTCGGGACTGCCAATAACGGTAGCGTAAGAGTTGGCCGAGACTTCCAAAGTCGCGAGACCGCAGGCAATGATCAAAGTGCAGACAACAAAGCCAGCAAAAGCGGCATCTGCTTTGGAAGGCGAAGAGAATTTTGCGCAGGGCCAAAAGAGAATAGCACCGACAGCATAGAAGCAAAGACCCATGATGATCGTCTTCTTGTAGCCCCATTTCTTAAGCACCGATCCAGCGATAGGCGAGAAGCAGAGGTAACCACCACCAAAGTAGGCGACTTGGAGTCCGGTGGACTGCAACTTGGTAATACCAAGAACAATTTGAAAGTGACTGTTCAAGACATCGAGCAAGCCATAAGCGAAACCCCACAAGAAGAAGAGCGACGTAACTAAGGCTAAAGGCAAGATCAATTGACGTCCAGTCAAGTATCCGCCAGAAGCAGTATCAAAAACAAAAGGAGCAGTACCAACAACAACGCCGCCAGCCATTGAGATTTGCTTGTAGAGTAAGATGGAGTGAAGGCTTGTTGCTTGATCTTGTCTATCTCGACCCCGATTTATATCCAAGTTCGCGTTGCGCGACAATGGACCTTTCCCCGCAATCTCCCCACGTTCACACGCACGTACTTAATAAATGAAGCAATCTTATTGGTTAGAGATCTCGGGTTCATCCATAAAAGGTACTTACTTAGTGCGTGCGCTCAAAGTGGAATAGCGTCTTGGAACAGCCGCTTCTCGTTCTGCTCTTCTATGGAAAGGGCCAGAAATGCAGCCAGTGATCTCAGGAGTACGTCTCAGCACGGCCATTTTACATGCTAGCGTTGACGTGGGCTATTTTGCAGGATGATGCTAGACAATGGAGAGTAGCTCAACTATGCACTTAACATTATCATGACATTATCCTGACATTATCCCACGCCTTTCATTGTTCCGCGTATGATGTTCTTGACAACCATATGTAGAAGCTCGTGTAGCATGATTTCGGAGATGCACAAGATAACTTGGTGCCTTTACGCATGGGATGGCTTATAGCTACCCGGTTATCAAATATGGCAGATGCGTATCGATCTTGACAGATTTGGAAAAACCCCCACAGTTCGCATATAGAGTATGAGGATACCATGCGTGTGGCACCATTGCTCCGGTTTCCGATCAACGCCTCACGTTGGCCCAGATGTCCCAGAAAATATCGATTCTCCTAATTTGGATTCTCCCGTCTTTTACTGCTATGGGCTAGATTCAGATTCTGGGTGCGAAAGGTTTTGGGCCCATTTGCTCAACCAATCACTGCACGCCGTTCGCTGAAGGTAAAGAGATGATGCAGAATATCTTGTCCGCGGATACGATTGCCAATCATAGGCCATTCCGTCGATCACATCCGGGTTTGAACGACCCTTTGACGTGCTGCTGTGTGCCAGGTTCGCGACTTTACACACTGTGGCAAAAGAATGTCAACCTGAAGAATAATAGCAAATTCATATTGCAAAGTTCGTCACAACAAGTCTCATGGCCCACAGTTGTTACATAAAGGGCTACGCATGGTTGCGTCACCTACTGAATATGACCTGGCCGCAAAAAACAAAAAATGTAAGTGGAAGGTTACGGCCGGATTCGAACCAGCGACCCTTCGATCTGCAATCGAATGCTCTAACCGGGCTGAGCTACGCAACCACTTACGTTGAAGAGAACTAATTTTAGTCAATATATGGTAACTTTAAATTAAAATTGATGACGTCATCACTTTCGCAATCTCGCCCGTTAACGCCTCTGTCAAGCCCAAACCTCGCCTAAAGCACGTATAGTAGTCTTTTAAACTAATCATGTTGCCGCGACTCTGACGGTATGTGGAAAGTACCAAAGAAAACACCTCGATGTCCAGAAGTGATGACATCATCATTTTCCGTGTAAATTCATGGACAGGGAATCGGACAAAATCCACTGCAGACAACAAGTGGAGCCAGGAACCTTGTCTGTATAGGCGGCAAGGACGAGTATACATACAAAATGCTCCGCATACTACAGAATCCTAACGCGCGCCGGGTACCAGCACTTTTGAAGCAAACTGGTGGTAAGTTGATTCCCTGTTGGTGTCGTGTTGTCTCCTGACGTTGTGCCGTGCATTAGCCCAACGATGCTTTAGTGCCACAGCACAAAGCAAGAACGAGGTAGAGGTCTTTGTCGACGGAAAATCTGTCAAAGTCGAGCAGGGATCAGCGTTGATTCAAGCTTGTGAGAAGGCTGGTGTTGATGTAAGTATATGCGCTTTCTCTCTCATCTGTATTCAACTCGCCTTGTTTTGGCAGATTCCTCGCTTCTGTTATCACGAACGCCTTTCTGTAGCAGGAAACTGCCGTATGTGTCTCGTCGAAGTTGAGAAATCACCCAAGCCTGTTGCTTCTTGTGCCTTTCCTATTATGCCTGGTATGAAGGTTAAGACAAACACACCTCTCGTCCACAAGGCTCGGGAAGGAGTCATGGAGTTTTTGCTCGCCAATCACCCGTTAGATTGCCCAGTCTGCGATCAGGGTGGTGAATGTGATTTGCAAGATCAAAGCATGCGTTACGGCTCTGACCGTGGACGCTTCCACGAGATCCGCGGTAAGCGTGCTGTGGAGGACAAGAATTTTGGACCCCTGGTCAAGACCATCATGACTCGTTGTATTCACTGCACGCGATGTGTTCGATTTGCTAACGAGGTGGCTGGAGCCGTTGAACTCGGTACTTCTGGCCGTGGCAACGACATGCAAATCGGCACATATATTGAGAAGACTCTGGGCTCGGAGGTGTCTGGAAACATTATCGATTTGTGTCCCGTAGGAGCCTTGACCTCAAAGCCCTACCAAATGACTTCTCGTTCCTGGGAGTTGAAGAAGACCGAATCTATCGATGTCATGGATGCTCTCGGTAGCAATATCCGAGTGGATTCCCGTGGCGTGGAAGTTATGCGCGTCTTGCCTCGTCTCAACGAAGACATCAATGAAGAATGGATCTCCGACAAGACTAGATTCGCCTACGACGGTCTCAAGCGACAACGTCTTACAACCCCTCTTGTCAAGGAAGGTGACCGTTTTGTTCCTGCCACGTGGGAACACGCTTTGAAGACTGTTGCTGCGAAGATGTCGGAGGCTCGTGGTAACAGCATTAAGGCAGTTGCCGGTCACTTGGCCGATGCCGAATCGATGGTCGCTCTCAAGGATCTCGTCAACAAGTTTGGCTCTGATAATTTGTGCATTGATGCTCCCAACTCCACTGGTGTTGTCAACACCGATTTCCGATCCAACTACGTCTTTAACAGCACCATTGCTGGAGCTGAAGAGGCAGATTTGGTGTTGCTTATTGGCACCAACCCTCGACATGAAGCTCCTTTGGTGAACACGCGCTTCCGCAAAGCCTATCTACACAACGGTCAAAACTTTGCCGTTATTGGTGAAGCAAATGATCTCACATACGATTACACGCATGTTGGTAATGATGCCAAGGCGCTCGATAGCATTTTGTCTGGCAAGACAGCCTTCGCCAAGCAATTGAAGGAGGCCAAGAAGCCAATGGTGGTCATTGGAAGCGGTGTCCTTGAGAACAGCAAGGATGGTGACTATATCCTGTCAAAGGTTGCTCAACTGGTTGACAAGCACAAGGATAAGTTCTTCCAAGATGGTTGGAACGGATTTAACGTGTTGCAGAGAGTAAGTGTTAGCAGCTGTAACTTGGGTTGTTTTACCGGACTTACGATGCGTAGGCTGCTTCACGTACCGCTGCATATGATATTGGCTACACAACATCGCCCGATGTCAAGACAGATCCCAAGTTCGTCTATCTTTTGAACGCTGACGAAGTGGACCCTAAGGATATTCCACGAGATGCTTTCGTCGTGTACCAAGGTCATCACGGTGATGTTGGAGCCCACTATGCCGACGTCATTCTTCCTGGCTCAGCTTACACAGAAAAGAATGTCACTTATGTTAACACTGAAGGTCGAACGCAACTTACCCGCGCTGCCGTGGCTCCACCTGCTGCTGCTCGCGAGGATTGGAAGATCATTCGTGCGCTATCAGAAGTTGCTGGACAAACATTACCTTACGATGACATTTACGCTGTTCGTTCCCGAATGAACGATATTTCTCCCACTTTGGTCCACTACGACGTGGTAGAACAGCCCTCTATGGCCCAAGTTGGACTCAAGAGCATTGCCGCCAAGACTCCAGCTTCCGCATCCAATTCACCCCTCGAGAATGTGATCAAGGATTTTTACATGACAGACGCCATCTCAAGGGCTTCAAGTACGATGGCCAAATGCTCTGCACTGTGGGTGAAGGGAAAGAGTAGTGATGAGGTACAGGGAGAGGAGGCTGCTGCTTCAGCATAGAAAATCGAATACTGAATAACATTCACACTCCTAACACTGAGCTTTCCTTTGGGTACAGTCCACAAACTTAATGAATTAATTTATATTGACGTCATCCTCCTGTGTCGACGGTTCCTTTTCCTCATGGAAGGCAGTTCGGAGAGAAGGTATTCAGACGACCCTCCCTCTTACTTCCCTGTACCTCGCGACTTTAGCGATACGCTCACATACGAATATACGCATTCTGCGGCGGAATATGCCCCGCATGGGGAAGAAAACTCTGATGACGGTAGCGCTGCCTCCATAAACTCAAGTCAATATGAGGCCAGCACTCATGTCACAGAATTTGAAGTACCTACACCTTCTGTCCATGAGCGCCAATGGTACTTTCCGCCTACTGGAAGAAGCGGCTTTCGGCTTCCGCGCTGGGCACGAGGCAACCGCTGGTCACTTGGCGATAGTTGGTTTGGCAGAGCCGGGCGAATAAGACTGCCTACAGAGAGCGATTTTGCTTCGCAACGATGGAGTCCACCTACACAACGCAGCTCAGCATTTTCCCGCATCCCTCGACCAACACTCCCGCAATTACCACATCTTCCTCAACTTCATATCGTCAATCTACTGGCTAAGTACCATTTGCCAAGACCCATTTCAAAACGACGCAACACACTTGTATGTTTATGTATATTTGCAATCGTCTTTTTGTCTTTTCTGCTTTGGTCGTCACTGTACTTTGTGCAAGCGCCTCTTCCTGGTCCAACGTTTGCCGACAAAGTCACCGATCATTCCGCGACCTTCCTCACGCTCAACCTTTTTATGCGACCACCGGGCATCAAGAATAATGATTCCGACTACAAAGACTCTCGTCTGGCTTATACACTCAAGTACATCCTCCCAAACTATGATGTGATTGCATTTCAAGAAGCATTTGCATTTGGATCGAAGCGCAAAGACTGGCTTATTCGAGAGGCCAGACGACAAGGATTTAATTATTATGTCGAAAGTCCTCGGCGGGGCTTCTGGAGTTTAAGAGTGGACGGTGGCTTACTCATACTATCTCGATTCAAGATTGACAAGATGGGCAGCATGGAGTTTCCGCGCGGGCTTCATGGCGATTGGTAAGTGTTAGTCGGTCAACGTATAGGCTTGACTGTTGACCGACGGCTCTAGGATATCCGCCAAAGGCGTTTTGTACGCGCGCATCATGCTGAATCCGTCCACACCCATCGACGTCTTCACCACTCATTCCCAGGCTTCCTATGGAGTCACGAATGACGATGGAGCAGGAGGCCACATTAACATGACAGATCAAACGGTGATGGTCCGATACGCTCAAATCAAATTTATGCGCGACTTTATGCTTCGACAGCTAAGCCGATCCGGTGAAGAGTCGACGCGTCAGGCTCCGCTCCTCCTCTTGGGGGATCTTAACGTCGACAAGCGGGTGCATGATCCTACACGGCCCATCAATTACAACTCTTCCGCGTCAAGCATCGAGTACAAAGGCATGATGCGTATCTTGACGGGCGATGGCGTGCCAGATTCGATTTTTGATGGCGAGAACCCGCAGTGCAAGGAGGATCAACTGGGGACGTGGTTCACGTCAGATCAACGATTGGATGGCTGGAAGGATGTTGTTCATGACTCTTACGGATATCACCCCATCACATATGGCGATGTGCTGATTGAACGCACTGAAGAGGGTCACCCTGACGGCGACATTGTCCGTATCAATCCACGCGAAGTCGTCTTGACCGATCATTCGGACTATTTAACGGTTCAGAGCATCGACAGTATTCTGCTCCTACCCCCGAATCAACCATCAGCTGATCAACAGCAACGGATCCGGACCGTACGCGCATCAGTCCAACCCTTCTTTGTGGCCGAAAATAGTCAGTTGTCCAAGGAGGAACGGAATGCTATCGTCTTTACCCAAGTGTCTGGTAGGTGTACCCGCATCCTATTCATTTGTGCGCGCGCTCAGCTGACCATTTCGCATTTGCAGATCATTATGGCATTTCCGCCCAACTAGAGTTGCAATAATGCATACATACCTTAATGTACATACGCAGTGCGCGAAGATTTAAACGCGTCCCATCAGGGGCACACTCTATCGAATCTAGGTGAAGATCACATGCTCCTTGCATCAGGCGCGTGACCAAAGAATAAGCCCTGCCCTTGGCCATCCCTGTCCCGAACGCCACCTCTGAGGGCATGAATTGGCTCACGGTGTGGTGTGGGGTAATGTGGGTTAGGGTAGAAATGACGTCCAAGTGCACGGGGCACCTTGCCTATTCCTTTGCCTCTTTTTCATGGTCGCGCCATAGCA